TATTCAAACACTAAAAATTAATACATTTATTGTACACACAGCTGTTTACATAATTTTCTTGAATAAAAAAAATAGGCATTTTTATGACGTATACGCGTTTTCTTGAAAATAGAAAGATCATTGGAATCAGCTATTTCCATTTTTTTAAAACTGTTTTTGATTTTATTTATAGTTTCATCAAGTAATTAATGTAAAGAATGAAAATAATCCTACCGTAGTCTTCTGTAGGTAAACAGAGATCTTTCATTCTATTTCGCACCAAATTTCCAATTTCTTGCCTTTCAACATCTGTTCGAATGGCGATTTGATCTTCGTCATCCATCAGATCGAGTGACATCTGGAATGACAAAAATTTTCTTAAACCTTCATCAGTTACAGTTTACTGCACTGGACGGATCTATATCCTAAATGAGGATTTTAAAATACTAACGGCAACCACTGCTTCAAACTGTGCTTGTACACAAGCCACTCACGAAGCGCAAAAATATCAAACATGTCTCACAACTCACAGTTTTCCAATCATGGCACTAATGAAATTATATTAATTCTAAACTTCCTATAGCATTAGTCACTTTAGACTACACACGACGACCTAGTAATCACATACTACAATTTATAGTCTCAACAAGATTTACTGTAAATCAAGACTACTACTATTCAAACGATTAATAGCAGTTTAAAGTGCAGTCATTTCTTTATCTCTTGCAGAAATATTCACAATTCTGTGTATAAACCTCATTCTTTGCTGTAATTTGTGAACATTACAGTAAAGAATGAGGTTTATATACAATTTATAATCTCAACAAGGTTTGCTGAAGACTATTACTGTTCAAAAGATTAGTAATAGTTTGAACAATAGTTACCTGTTTATCTCTACCACAGACACATTTATAATTCTGTATATAAACCTCAGTCTTTACCTTAATTAATGAAAATATTTGGAAAGTTTGGAATGCTACATGTAGTCTGAGTAGACCATACATGTCAATACTTAAACTTTTGTGACAAGAAACGAAAGTAAAAATTAAAAATACATAATATTACTTCTATTTATACGCTTGAAATTTAGTACTTTTCTTTAGGCAAAATATATACTACTTTTATAAATACTGCCTTATAAATACTTATGTTATGTATAGCAATTTGTTATTGTCAATAAGAAAAGACTATTGCTAGCCTAAATACACAAACACTAATAAATTATTTTAATTGTTGAAGGAGATATGGTAATGAAAGCAACGTACTGAAGTAGTTTCTGCCAGTGTAGATTTTTGAGTCCTGTAGACTCCAATAGGAATTTCGTAAGTTGTGGAAGAGAGTTTTTGGTATAATCGACCATATGTCTTGATCCAAAGGTCATCTTTAGTGATTCGGATCTGAAAATTTAAAAAAAAGTTCAATATTTTATGGAGTGAAGAAGTTACGAACCATTTTTATACCCGCAGTTTTTAAAATATTATTTAAGATTAAGATATTAATAGAAATTATTCTTTTAAAATTTACAATAAATTAACCTTTATTAATTTGGCAAAATAGCAAAAAATTTAGCCTGGTTTCAATGAGTAAATAAAATGTATTTTATTATAAACGTTGAAGGGAAAAAATCATTGATAATTTTTTTAGAAGTATTAAATATTATTTTTTGTTTATCTTTGTAGAATTAGTGTTCTCTTAATTTAGGTCACCGAGAGCATACAAAATCTATTTTGAAGCTCTCAAAGACAACTTTTTAACTTATGCTGAGAAAAATACTGTGATATACTCACAGAAGATAAAAATCCGGAGCCAGGAGCTTGATCTACACCCAGTAGTAATCGGACGAACGTGATCATATAATCTTTCACAAAAGCCTGTAACATAAAATTAAAATTTAACAAAAAGTAATTTATAACTAATTTACAACTGATTTATATAACTACGTAATTTTTAACTAAATTACAAAAAAATAAAAAAAATACAATTTATAACTACCAAATAATTTGTTTTATTATCACTTAAAAAAATAACTTATGATCAATATTTTGCGCATTTCCTTATGAAAGCCTATCAGACTGTACGTTTGTTTATTAGAATGTTTCTTCTGGTAGCAACAATGTGCTTTAACACGTTGAGCTCCGCATCAGCCATCGGTGGCTGACACTGGACTTTCCATGTAAGCCGCGTCAACCACCGGTGGCTGACACTGAAATTACATTTAGGCTTCATCTGTCACCGCTTGCTGACACTGACCTTTCACTTAGGCCATGAAAAACAGCTGGCTGACAGCGTATAACATGTTATAGAACTATAAAATTTACTCTCTTTTATGGAATTGAAGAAGATTTATTCAAAATTTACTTAATTGTTGTGATTCTTGGTTTAATAAACTCAATTAAGTAGATTTTTATCCACCACTATTTTCAAAAAATTCGAAGGTATATATAATTCACCTTTTTTTTTAAAAGTAATAATAGTCATGCTAAACCTTTTATAAACTAGCAAAATTTGTATAATTTGCAAATTTAGTTTGTAGTTATTAAAGTGTGGCCAGACGAGCAAGCCATGTAAAATTAGCGTGGAATTCAACGTGTTAATATAAAAGTCTTAGATTTAAAAAGCTTCTTAAATTTCTCTTTATATCCTGCATGGCAAATCAATAGTTTAAACTTTTGTTTTGATAAGATCTTATGTTGTTAAGTATTGGCAAGATGCTTAGTGTTTAGAAAATTCCTTTTACCTTGTTTGGGATTTCCACAGCTAAACGCGTGGGTGGATCTAATCACGTTGACGTGTATGGCGTTTTAATCTTAAGGCTTGGGTTTAGTATCATAATTAATTATTTTTTGGATCAGATTTACTTGAATGCCTGCAAGAGACGGCACGCTTGTGTGTGGTACCTCATTGGCTAATCCACGCCTTGCAAAGTAATCAATTATCAGTTTACTACTGCTGTGTAAAATCTTTCCCACTAACCGTGCAAGTTGCCCACTATGATAAGGTAAATTGTTCATACTGAAATACCTTTAGGATCAGAATTAATTGGGATACCTGTAGCAGACGGCACGCTCGTGTCTGGTATCTGATTTGCTAACCCACGCCTTGCAAGTATTCAATTTTCAGTTTACTACTGCTTTCTAAAATCTTTCCCACTTACAGTATAAGTCGCCCTCTATGATAAGGTAAATTGTCCATTATATTATGTTCAGTCAATCACAGTGTACTTGCTTGAAGAAAATTGTACCTACATTTGTAAAGCATCAAACTTTGTTTTGCCGGAAAAATAGTTTTTAATGGTTGTCTAGGTATTTAAGCAAAAATATTAAAATAAAACATTGATAAATTTTTATTGCTCGTAAACTTGAACCGATTTATTTAAAACTCAAAATTTGTAAGCCAATTTAAATTATTTTCTTCAAAGTCTTGTGGTTGTTTAATAAGAAACGCTTGTGCATTTGAGAAATTTATTTATCTTTTACAGCATTTGCAGTATTTTCACAGCTTCAGATGTATTACTTGTCGCCGTTAGTAAAGTAAATATGTTTTATTTTAAATTTATAAACAGCGTTAAACAGCCGACCCATTTTTAGGTTTACGACTACCGATGTTTAACGTCCTTGCAATATTGAGCACAACCAAGAAAACTCTTGTATCAAGCATTGAATCAAGCTTGCCTTCGAGGAGTATTTCTGATGAAACTAACTCGTATTTGTGTTTCATAGAGAGAAAAACCACGAAAACCTCTCATGGTCAGCCCGGTGGCAAGAGGACGCAAACCTATGATCCGTCTACCACTGAGGATATTTTACGTCAGCATTGGGGTTAATGAACAGAGCCATTCCTTGGATTCAAACCTAGATCATCTTACAATAAATATGATTAATGAATTATTCAAACTAATTTGAATGAGTGCTTAAATATTAGTTTGTAAAAATCTGAACTAATTCTTCGGATTGTTAAATAGAGATGTGAGAATCTGAGAGTTGCCATTGATTTACGAAAAGTAATTAATTATAGTTTCTCAGTTGAATCAATCTATGTTTTGTGATGAATATAAAAAATAATAAAATATGAAATTTAAGAAAAGTGGGCAATATAAGTATGAAATAGTAAGAATAATAGTTCTATCAATAGAGTAGAACAAATATTCACAGCGTTGTATATTCGTATAGATAGTATGAGAGAAACAAAATATTCACATCATTTTGTTTATTGTATAAATATTACATTCATAATAAAATGTATAAATTGTTTTTTCTATGATATTGTACCGAGCAAAGGGTTCGTGTGAATTGGTGATGAATAAAACAGACCTTAAGAATTCAAAAATTTATTGGTAGAATCTTTCAGAAAATACAGCAATTTCCAGAGCTCAATTACATCACAAATATTAGTACAACACATAAAATACTGACTTCGGGAAACACTGATATAAGCCTACGAAGTGTTTAGAAATAGTGATGAATGAAAATCTACTGAATTGAATTTGTTAAACCAAGAATCACAATTAATTAGTAAACACATGAAAATATTTATTCGTTGTCCGGAGTAAGTTGGCCTCTCTGTGTATATAAATAAAACTATTTTTGCGTGTTCTATATAGCATTAATTTCTTCAAACCATTTTAGTAACGATAATAATATAAAAAACAAAAATTTACTCGAATTATGCGTTTCTAATAATCTTGGCGTCGCCGGTCACCGGTTACCCCCGTGGCATTCAACGTGTTAAACTGAAACTATTGAGCAAACTATGCTCGCTTTCATCAGCGTTAGGCTTCCTTATTTGAGAGTTTTACCAAGAAAATTAAAACTTGATTTGAAGTATTTTTCATAAAACTAATCTACCACTCTTTGCAAAAAAAAAATTATTATATAGAATTTTTAAACATCATTTTAAAAATTCTATATAATAATTTTTTTATTAATTTCTATATAATAATTTGTTTGTTTCCCCTTCCTCCTCCTATTCAACTGAGATGAAAGAGCAGATAGCCTTTTCAGGCTAGGTACTCTGAAAAATTTAATAGTTACAGTTACAGTTTAGTTGTTTGAGTTCCACTGCTTGCTTTCTATTGCATGAATTACTAGCTAGAAAATATGCTGGTAATGATATACAATTAGAGCAATTAATTTTCTAGTAGTAGGAAAACAACTGATTTCTGCTCTAATTAAGGTTAAACTGAATATTGCCAATCAAGCTGCAGTCTTTTTGAATGGAATTTTAGTGACTCCCATGGCATTCAACGTGTCAAGTTTGATGAACAACAATTAAAATAAGGCCGTCAAGCAATAAATATCGATCAAACTAATTGAAAGTTAAATCTTACCTGATAGAGCAAAGTATCTAGCATGCTGGCACTGAAGACACTCCCAGCCGCAAAAGGAATACGGAACATGTACGATATATGAGATCCCCTATCCTTCTCTCTCTAAACAAGAAATAAAACGTAACGCATAAGCAATTTTGGAAATCTATAAATATAAAAATGAATGTTTGTCTGTGTATGTGTCCTTTATAGACTCCAAAACCATCCAACCGAAAGCGATGAAATTTGGCATGTATATAATTCGAAGCATGAGGAAGGTTACTTTATAGCAATCAACGGCAAGCGGATTGGGCAAAAAAAACAAAACAAAAAAAAAACTGGAATTTTTTGATGGGTTAAGCGTTAGCCATTGTTTTAAATCTAAATATAAACAATTCAATAGATTTCTTATTTTAAAGATAACATCGGGATTGCTCTCCTGTTTTTGTAGCTCGACGATTTGCACGTGAAGTCGAGTATTTTATGATAGAACAGTTTAACGTTGTTTTTCGAAGTTCCGCCGCTATGGAAAATAAAAAAAAGACACAGTTTAAGTGCCTTATACTTGAAGCAAAGCTATGGTTTTAAACTATATACATTATGCTGCCATAGAGAATTATCTGGGATTTAGAACGGACAAATAACTTAATTACATTCTAAAGTTATTAAACTTTTATTTAAAAAATCGCCAATTTGGTGACAATTTTCCACCTAGATGAAAATTATCAAAATCTCTGCCTTATTCTCAGTTATTGCAAATTTTTATGAGCCCAGGTAATGCAGCATTAGAGTAAGTTATTAAATATTAAAAAACTAGACTCAAACGTTTTCCAGTTTCACAAAACTGTGGCTTTTCTATATGATGACATCTTGCGCCATTATCAAAATAAGCCTAGACAGCGCTGGTGTTAGATAGGTTAAACTTGACACAACTGTCGTGTGGCAAACTGAAAGCAGTTATAAAAATAGCATATTATTGAAAGATAGCCTTAACAAGGGCTAAAAAGGAGCACACTCCGGTCCCTTCCACTTCGCAGGCTCATCACTTCAAATTTTCCACAAAAACAGTTTAAATTTTTGTAAGAGTTTATGATATATTGGCGATTGGAAGGTGAAAAGTTCGTCTTATGTGAAAGCTCTGAAAATAATATATTGGCGAAACTTCTAATCAAGAAAGAACTTCTTTTTCGCAGAATTATAATAATACGAAACAAATCATACTGACGAATTCTTCTACGTAAGAGTTTTCACGGCATAATAATTCATTGTAATATGATGATGTTACATTACAATGTAGGGTGACAAATGTTCCATTATTTTGACTGAAATTTTAAAGAATATAATTTCATTTTAATTTTAGGGATTCAGATAGTCTGTTATTCCCATCTAACAATATTTGAGTTTGAAAATATTTGTTCATGTTGAAATTTGTAAAATTATTCGATTATTGCAAAGGAGAATGCCTAACATTTCTTAACATTTTCTCCAGACTGCAGCAACACTGAATGTATACCAAATCGAGATAAATCAGGCTCTCGTTGTCAGCTATTTCATACAGAACTTATGTGCCGATTCTGAAAATTGAGAAAAACATTTGCTTTTTGATACTCACTTTTTCCATTTTAGAAAGATGCAAGGCATAAGCATCTCTCGCTCTGAATTGCATGAATCTCATGTTACAAGACTGGCTCAGCTCTGTGATGATACGAACACTTGGAAACAATCTGCAGAGTTTGGAAATATATTGAATAAAGGCAATAAAAAAACTACAAATTCACATCGAATCATTCAAATTTTTATTGTTTTTTTTTAAATGTTTGTGAAATAACAGGGGATATTCCCACATCGTGCTCTGTGGCGTCAACTACAATCGCCAAGAAGCCCAATAAATTTTAAATTTGTTTTTAAAAAAACACATAGATGTTTGCCCGGAGTGTAGCTACGAGCGAGAATTTTCTAGCTGGTCCCTTCCTGGCATGTTCTTTTTTTTCTCCTCCTTTTAGTTTCTCGGGGGTGCTGCTAGGAAGTTGCTTGACTTCGCGATTATTCTGCCACAGATCACGATACAGAAATCTTCCCAAATAACAATAAACGAAACTTAAGTTTATTTTTAATCCTTTTCAGTTTCTATACGAGACGCACTTACAATTATTGAACAACAGAGAAACATATCATGATAATTTGCGTAATAACAAATCATTGTTTAGAAAAGATTAAATTAAAATATACTCTTAAGAAGATCTTTTTATAGCAACAAAATGATAGCATATGTTATTGAAATTACTTAGAATTACTTTCTATTACTTACTATTTCTATTACTGAAATTACTTACTATTTTGAAATTACTTAGACAGATTAATGTGGTTCACGAAGTGCACCTCCAATGGATTCTCTCGCATCTGGGGATTTACGGAAATGAGGTCGCTGACGACTTGGCAAAGCAGGGCTCGGTTGAGTCATTGTATTCAGTTGCCTCATCGACTTTCGACGAGCTTTACTCCATCAGGAAAAACAACGACTTAAAGTCTTGGAAGGTCCCTCCATCCCATGATTGGTATTGGCGGTGATGTCCTAGGGGCTCGATTGGCCTTTTCTGCGATAGAACTGACCAGATGATGCTGTCGAGATTTGCCAGCGGCCACCTGAGGAGTGGCTTCTTTTGCAATGGCAACAGGGTTTTCCCGGTTTGTGCAAAGTGCGTCTCCGGAGCACATTCTAGCTTGTCTTCGCATTTCTAAGGAGACTTTCGCGACGGACCCTTTGCTTTCCCTGGATTTTTTGAGAGTGTATGAACTCATGGATAATGTCCAGCTGCCGCTAGACAGTGAGGGGATTAGTCACACATACACACACAAAAAACATAAAATTAAGACCAATAGCTGCTCACTTTACATCCGACCCCTCATATTACAATCATCCAAATAAATAACTAATCACAAATCCACCCACAGCATCAGATCCAACAATAATACCGATAACTTGATCAAGCATTTCCCCACGTTGACCATCAATCTACATTCAAAGTCACACATAGTTTAAAGCAAGCCTGCTTCTTATTATTTCCATTATTATTATTTATTCAAGCAAGGTGCTTGAATCCCAATAACAGCAACCATATAGACTACTAACCTTAAAGTTCTATCACAAATATGAGAAACATGATGGAGGGGGTGGGAGCCACTGCTCTGCCCAGGTGCCCAGCTCAAATTTCAATACAAGACAAGTAATTTGACATATTAAAAATATAAAGTTTCGTAAGAAATGCAACATTATTACTGTTGTCTCGTGGCGAAAACTTTAAAGAGTGAGCGAAATTTTCCTAGTTCTACATAGTTTACTCTTCAATTCGCTACTAATTTATTAGAATTTTGCAGAAAGCGGAGAAGTTTCTATTTCTAGTTTACTATTGAAAGTGGATTCTGAGAATGGTTTTTCTTAAAATTTCAACTAAAACAATTTGAAATGTATCTCGAAGTGTTATTAAACAAATAATAAATAAATAAAATTTCTACCACTTTTTACGTTTTATTTGCCTGTGACGTCGTTGCATACCTTTTGTAAGGAACGTGCGTGCTAAATGGTACCTAGGAATTAATAATATTCGTTTGTCATGGAAAAAAGTAATATAGATTATTTTTCCATTACAAACTAATATAATTTATCGCATCGCAAACGTATTATCTCCTTCTTCCTACCACTTTCAACGTAGCAGAGAAGTGGGAACTCTTAATAGGCTCACAAATTGAATTTTAAAACATTCCGTAGAGAAATATATTATTAAATTGCATAAAATTGTATCTTGTAGAGTGAAACCGATTGCGAATTTGAAATCAGTGACGAAAAAATATCCAAAATTGGATCCATCTAAAAGAAGATTGCTTATCAACCATTTTTCTGAACTCATAAAAATTCATTTTAATGTTAATTATCATCACAATTTCATAAAAATTAAAAGAAAATAAACTTTTTCTAACCATCTCCATAAATGAGGCAATATATGGAAATATTTTCATTTTTTTTATATTTAGTATCTACCAGCAAAATATATTGCTATTAGATACTTTGATTAAAAGAGTTTTTACAGATATTTTGGATATATTTATTTCAATAAAATTAAAATTTATAATAAATATATTTTATTTTCTAAACCGGTAGGTCCTAAAATTTGAATTTCCTCATTTCTATCCCTACATTTGTCAAGTCAAAGGAAGCAGTAGGTTTTTTATATATTTAAAATTACATTTCTTAAAATGATTTAATAATTCACATACCTTAAAATTCAAAATTTTTTGAAACGTTTTTACAGAAAATAATAATAAATTATAAATAATTATTTAAAGCTAGTTGTCGCATAGAATGATCTTTGGGTAAACTAATTTTATAACTGTGTGTAAAATGTTTCGATCAGCTTAAAAATTCAGCGATATATTGCGAAACACGCAAAATGTAAAATTAAGAGAATTAAACTTTTGACCTCGCTCTCTTGACCATAGCATGGGAATTGGAGAAAATTCGAATTTAACGGAAGAGAAACTTAAAAAAAAATTTGCTATTATATTACTGATATTGTTTCTTAAAATATTGTCTGCTGCTCTAATTAATGAGTGCAATTAAATAAAGCAAATTTAAGTTTCGGCCCTTGAATCATTAAGATCGGTTCTAAGTCTAATTCCGTTCATATGTTATTCAGAGTTTTTATTTTTGTGCTCTTTATGCACTAAATGCTAATCATGAGCCTGTTATAAGGGTGATTCTTTGGAAACATGACAATTCGAATCAAAAAATTTCTTCACATTTAAAGTCTTCAAAATAATTTAAATTTATTTTTGTATACTTCTTTAGTTACATTTATTAATGTCTTACAGACAGCAGTGTAGTTTATTGACATTTTCTCGAGAAAAAAAAAATAGAAATTCACCAAATTTTGAATGCTAGGAAGATGACATATTAGTTTAGAAGTTTAAAAAGCAGTCATATTGAGTTAATAGTAAGTAACTCAACTTAATCTTTGATGTTACATGGACCATAAATTGCTTAAATTAGTTATTTTATTCCCTGTAGAAAGAATAAAAAAAATTTTGTTCCTGATATGTACAGAATAAAATGGTGTATAATAATTAATTATTAAATAAATAAATAACTTTGATTACATTCAAGCGTATTATAATCATACATAAACTTGGTATTATGTTAATATTTGCTTTCCCTCTTTACAATATACTGTTTAAAAAGTTTTCTGGTAACACGTCAATGTCCATTCATTCATAAGCCAGGAAAATGACAGCCAGGATAATGACAAATTTGCCATTTTGTAGCATTTAACTTTAATTTAACACTTTGGCCTAAGACGTTTACATTCTGCAGAAAACAACAGGATTTCTTGAAATAACTCTGATAAATGCATGTAGTTTATGTTATTAATGATTTCAAGAAGACAGGAAAATGACAACATATAATTCTACTCACCTTGAAAAATTTATTGAAATAGATTTTGAACCAGAAAGTTGGTTCTTTATTTATGCAATAAGCCATGCTCAGATAGGATCTATCTGATCAATCTATTACCATAAGGTATTGATTGCTGGCTCTGTCTATTTTGGTTATAAATCACTAAATAAAAGTAGCCAGAAAAATGACAGATTTTCATGTGACAAACAAATTATTGACAGAAAAAATTATTTTAAACGAAGTTTTAGTAAATAATACCCTCAGCGTATATTCTAGAAATGCTTACATAGGTTGAGATAAAAAATATTAGATTTTAAAAAATGTATGGGAAGTTTTGAAGCTAGTTATTAATGGAAATATTGTTTGTGATACGCCAGGAACATGACATTTTGATATTTAAATAAATTTGTGATATGCCAGGAACGTGATATTTTGATATTCAATTAAATTTTTTAAGTATACAAAACAGCCAATGCTAGTGCAAAGTTATTTTAAAATGCTAACAGCAAAGTTATTTATTACTTTTTTTTCTTCAAAAAAAAGTTCTTTTAGTATTATAATATTAGATCTTGGAGCAAGGGACAATGATTTGTCATATTTCGATGAGAATCACCCATACGTTATAAATAAATCATAGAAGCTATGTTTTCCCGGAAATATGCAAGAAATGATTTTATTTCTGGTACCTTCAAACTTCCGAGTTCTGGAGGAAATGTTAACATGGTGTTTAGTAAATATCGCCAAAGTAGCAGTCAAATTACAATTCGTCATGAAAATGTTTTAAAAATTTGTCTGAAGTTGATGCAATTTTTCAAGTTGATTAAAATGAAGTTTTGATTCATTTGAAAGTATTTTTATTCGGGATGATCATAAAATGTTTGCAGATTGAAGAATGCCACTGGCACCAAAAAATGTAGAAGTGACTGGCGAAAAGGAGAAAATCTATTAACACTTTCATCTGGGCAATGACGCGCTTTTGTACCAGCATCTGCGCTTAGAACTCTCCCACAACACTAAAATTGAAGCAAAACGCAAATTCTTATAAAACTTCTTGAATTAACTTGTACAACAATAGAAGGCAGCAAGCATACTTGGAAGATGAGTTAGAAAACACTAGATCATAGATTCTCAACCTTTCTAACGTTGTCGCCCCCTTAATAAGCAAAAAACATATCAACTCCCCCCTTTGTGATAATCCAGTTATTTAGAGCATTGAGGACGGGGGGGGGGGGGCGAATTATAAGATGCATTTTTAGGCAATTTTTTAAGCGTTAAATTTGCATGTTTTTTTTTTTTTTTTTT